CCTGCAGTAACTACCCACCAAATCATTTTAATTTCTCTCTCAAACCTTCTTCTTCATTTCTCTAGACTTTCTCTCTCATCAAAAGAAAAAAATCTGAACCAAAATTGCTTCAAAATACTACGAAACTGCTTCAAAATACTTTGAAATTGCTTCAAAATACTGCTAAATTGCTTCAAATGTCTACATTTGCGAAGAAATTCAACAATTGCAAAAAAATTCACAGAAAGAGTAAGTAATTTTACTACAATTTTTTGTACGAACCCTAGTTTTTCTATTTTATTTTGAAATTACATGTTCAGAAACATAATCTAAGTTGATTAGAACTATTTTATGCAAAAATCATTAAAATCTACTATATTAGTGCTGTTTTTGTAGAACCGAAAAATATGTTTCGAAATAGAGAGATAAAGAGAATGATTACTCAGATTAGAATCCTGTTCGTTGAACACAACAAGGCAAATTTTGAAGAAACGTAAGTATTATTTCAAAAACCTATTTAAACAATAGTAGAAATTTTTTTTTTAAAAAAAACAGCGAACAAAAGTCTCAAGTTGTAGATCTAGAACTTTTAAAAGATATTAAAAAGTCTCATGGTATAGATGTTAACATTTCTACGATTTCGAGGTAATATATGAACATATACTGAATTATAAATGTTCATTTGTATATTTGAATTTATTTGAGTTTATATTTAACTTTATATGCCTAAATAAAAAATGTTTATTTTTATGATACGTTATGCACATTTATGAAATGCATAAATATTCATTCATTTGAGTTGAGAAACTGACTTATTCATTCAATGAAATCTTTTGATCATTTATGAAATTCATAATGTTCATTTACATATAAAGTAATGTTCATTTTAAAATATATGTTAATATTATTTCATTTCAGATTACATATATATATTTATATGCCTAAGAGACGAATGTTCATTTCTTTTATACATTATGCACATGTGTAATATTGATAATATTCATTTGTATGCATTAAAACTAATATCTTACAACCAATCTAGCTATATTGTAGTGATGTCCAAAGTTACACATATGATATAAATTTGCACATAGAATTGAAGAATATGTAGTTGTTTTGGAGAAGATAAAATGACTTAGCAACGCTAGCGCTGATTATACAAATTGCGGAGTATACATTAGGAAGCATATAGAAACCTTCACTACTAAACTTAATGAGAGTTAGATTTGTGATTTGAAACCAAATAGTGTAAAAGTGATAAATGTTCAATAATGTAAGATATATTGTTCATTTATAAAGCAGTGTCTATAATAATTAACATTTGTTAATTCATTTTGTTCAACAGGTGGACCAAATTAGGAAGCAAGGATGCGAAACTTATATTATTTGAAGAAAAACACTAATTCTAGGTTAAATAGAAGATAAGCAAGAAATTTTGCAAAGGAATAGTACATGTTATATGTTCATTTATGAATGTGTATATGTTCATTTATTATATATAGTTTTATAGATGTTTGTTTTTGGAGGAAAATAGACTTATAGATTTTATTTGTTAAAAAAATTATTGTAATTGATATTTCATTTTAATCTTTATTTGTATGAAAAAAAAATATATTTTTTAGGTTTTACAAATTGGTTGTTGGTTCTTTACTTTTGTTCATTTTCAAATTGATAAATAATCATTTACATATGTTGAATTTTAAAAAAACAATATAATATACTAAAAAAGGTACTATATAGAAATAAATTATTATGTCTTTAACACTTGAAGAATTTTGAACAAGAGCACCTTGATCATTTATTGGAACCGTGGGAAGCATAACTTAAATATTTGTTGATTGAACATTTCTGAAATGGGGTTTGAACATTTCTGGGTTGAAGTTTGAACAATCCTGAGTTGAAGTTTGAACAATGCCAAGAACTATGGGTGGAACAAAATAACCAGTTTGAGATTTTGTAGACGCACTAGTATGAATTGGAACTCTTAGATTAATTTGAGCATTAGTTTTAACACCAACAACACCTTTATATTTGTAGAAACGTTAGAACGAGCTTGATTAACGGAAACACGTTCAACAACATTTAAATCCTTCGCCTGCAAAAAAAAAAGTTAATTGATGATCAATATTAAATCAATAAATGTTCAATTACAAATACATATATACACATATTAGAAAACAAAACCTTAACAAAAGATGAAATATCTAAATCATCAGATATGCTGGATTGAAGAGTGCTTTCAATATAAGCCTACACTTATCATAACACTATTATTCCTACACCTATCATCTTTATAACTCTCACTACAACAAACAAATAATAAAAAATGAATTGTCTTTTCTCCTCTTACTCTTCCCAATTCGAATTCCAAAACCGTTCCTAAAAGCATGTTCGTTATACATTTCAAAAGCTTCTTCTTCAGATTTAAATTGTTAATTCAGACTTAGCTGCTTCTTCATCAACTATATCACCCTTTTTTTTTTCTATTGCACACATTATTAATACACAATTATAAGTGAACATAAAGGGTTTCAAAAATGATCAATAGTTAATACATAAATGTTCAATAACGAAACTGCACATGTTCAATTTGAAAATTTTAAACACATAATATTATCATGAAAAAAATTGTAAAAACAAATGATCAATATGACATTGAAAATGAACGTAAAATGTTCATCGTCATCACAACAGAGTATTAACAATCCAAAAATGTTCATCATCATCATAATCAAAATATCAAAATTGAAGCAATGAAAACATATAACACATACATTGAAGCAACAAAATCGAGTACAAAATTATGTAGAAATAAACAGAGCATCCACATAACACAGTATTGATAATCAAAAAGTACAAAATTATGATCATACATTGTTGAACAAACGAATCAATCAATCGAACTTCAGATGAAAACACACTTTCGAAATCACGATCGAAATCGGCAGAGGAAGAATTAGACATTGATGATCAACAACGATTATCAAAATCGTAAAAAATAAACTGGAAAATTAGTATAAAAATCAAATGAAGAAGATGAATTGAGCAGAGAGAATGAAGGTATTACAATCAATTGAGGAGAGAGAAAATATATGGTTTAAAATCATATATATACATAGCTTGAATGATAAGAAAGGAAGGAATTTTTTTAAAAAAAAAGAATCAAAGCTGTTCGAGAGTACTACCCATACTAGCTACAAAACAATGTAGTTTTGAGGGGGGGGGGGGGATAGGTAGAACATCCTACACTAGGGTGTAGGGTAAAAATTTCACATTGTTATAGGGTTGTACTACCCCGACCCGATCTGACTTGACTTAAAATTGATACGAAGTATGTTGAACTAATTCAATAATATCTTTAGGTAGGAAATTTAGAAATATTAATATTGCATAAATCTAATTCTTTCGAGTACTATTAAATGAAAGAAATGCTTATTATATGTATTTTTTTTTTTAATAATCCAAATGAGGTACAAATATAAATTATAAATGGGAGCGAGAGATTTAAACTTGGAGCTGTGACATAACGTATTGTATATATAACTATATAAGTCTTTATCTTTTATCATCAAACCAACTTTTATCATCAAACCAAACACTAATGGGTGAAAATACTTTGCCGGTAAGTAGTGTGAGGCAATGCTAATGAAAATGATTTTTAGTGTAATTTTTTTTTTTGAATGGATTTTTAGTGTAATTTAGTATGAAAACACCCTATAAATCTCCATATAAGTACAATCTCATCTCCCCTAGCGTTTCTTTTCTTCATATTTTCCTAATACCATCCATCACCACACCATATTAGATGTAAATAAAAATGTATGAAGAAAAATAGATGATTTAAGGGTGATTTTGAATGATTTTTTTTTTTAAAAAGAGCATATAATATAATCAAGCAATATCTAAATCCGCCAAAGTTATAATACTCTGGAAAGGAACTCAAACAGTCAAACGTACATATTATGTGCTATTCCCCGTATCCCAGGCCACCATGCCACGAAGTGAGCTACGGTGTTACAAGCTCTTTTAATATGAGAAAAATAACAAACATCAAACCAATCATTATCAACCACAATATCATCATAGATAGCGTATGATAATGGTGTTTTACCCAACTGAAAAACGAGCATTGTGGAAATACGTCTCCTTTATCACTGAGTGGTCATTTAGCAACCTTAATTGGTGATCCTGACTGTTTTTTTGAATTCACATGAAAAATCATTCCTATTAGACCATTACTATTGTTTATAACGGATTATCAAACGGACCGTCCATAGTAACTACTACGTAGTAGTAAGAGATAATTTTCAAAGTAAGATTCTTAATAAAAACAAATGAAATGATACTGTAAGAGCATTCACAGCAGTGAGGAGAAAAACCCTCACGAGTAAAAATTAAGGTGTAAAAAAAAAACCCGAACACTACATCAGTGAGTGAAAAACCACTCACCGTTGAGTGAAACTGATTTTCCTCAAGAGTTGAGGGTTTTTGAGGATGAACAGTAATATGGTGGGGCCCACAACACGTGCAAATTTCTATTTTTTTCTGAGATTCTTAGCCAAAACGACGTCGTTTGGCGCTTAAAACAGCCAAACGTCGTTTTGGTCTTTGAATCAGAAAAAAAAATGGGAAAGGTTGGCATCTGACGCGCGTCAGCCCAGCCAATTGGGAAGTGACACGCGTCAGTGCCTTTATGCTCAGCCAATCAGCTATTTTCGTGAATTTTTACAACGGTTATATTTTGTAATTAAAATATAACCGTTATAATTATTTAAAAAAAAAAAAAATCACCAACGGCCATAAAATTTAATTCTCTATAAATAGACATGCATTTTATTATATTTTGATATACTTTCAAAAAAACCCATAAATTAGAGAAATTAACATATTTTCCCAATTTCTTCTTGTTATTATTATTATTGTAATTATTCTTTAAAAAAATTCCCAGTCAAAAGTATAAAAAGAACGTAATTGAAAAATTAAATATTATTTTTTAATTGTATTGGAAAATTAAATATGTAGTATAAACATTATTTCAAAATAAAGATAAAATAAAAAGATGATGTGCATATAGTGGGGTATAGTAAATAGTGGAGGAGAAAGTGATGAGAGGTTTTTTTTCTCCTCATTGATGTGGTGAAAAAAACATTTAATGAGAGGAATTGTATGAGAAGTGAGAAAGTGGGTAGAGAGAGATTGAGAGGTTTTTTTTTCCCTCACTGCTAATAATGGTCTAAGGAATATCTATAGGAAGAATATTTTCTTGGGTCCCATTCAGCCCGAAACTCTGACCCGCTTTGCCCATAAACCTTTCCTCTTAAACCCTAAAAAGTAAAGAACCCTCAAATTTTAGAATTCAGACTACTTTGTGAAAAGAGAGAAACAAGTTGATAAGAACGATGGCTCAATTTCATGCCTTCTCTGCTACTGCTGCTGCTGCTGCTGCTGCTGCTCCTTCTAATTCAATTTTCAATGGTCCTAAAACTTCTGGTACCCATTTCTATCTTCTTTATTCTTTAGCTGTTCTGGGTTTTTTTTAATGATTTAAAATGATGGGATTTTTAACTTGTTTCTGGTGAATTAAAATGATGGGCATTTGTTATTTGATGAATGTTATTATAGAATTGAAATGGAAATGGAGGGTGGAAATTATTGAAATTTGAAGATGAAATGATAATGGGGTTGCGTTTAATTACATAAAACTTGTCGCTTTTAATGGATTTGTAGTGTAAAATACAATATTTGCAAAAGTTGGCTATGCTTGTCTTACTTAATTATAAGGGGGAGGTAGATAGGAGATGTTTGCTTTGATGTATATACTAGTATGTATGTTGAATTGACCATTTCTCAAATGTAGCTTGCACAAAATGCATTGTTGTAGTTATCGAGTTTTTGTGTGGATGCCGATTAGCTTAGTTGGTTTTCGAGTGGAGGTGGCTATAAATCTCGTCTACATCATTGTCCCTCTATATGTGCCAAATTATAGAAGTATTAGTTATTGAGGTTTTCTTATCGATTGTCACTTACTATGATCAATAATCTTTTGTGTAGGTTTTCTCCAGGTTCAAGATAAATTATGCTGCTCAAGAAGATTGTCAATGTTTAACAAGGTACATGAATTGCCTTTATTGCTTGATATTTAACTAATTTTATGCCGTGTTCTTAAGTGAAGCGTGTGTTTCTGCATCATCGTTTCCTTTCATTTTTCTGTTCTTGCATTGGGACGATGCTCGAATTTGATGTTATTGGTTGTCTGTTATCAGTTTGGTGCAAATGTGAGCGAGTTCTGTGGCAGTGCAGTTGTCCAAAATAGCAGGTGCACAAGTGAAGTTCAGAAGAAACAGGGTGAGAATGTAAATATGTAGATGTTGTATAATATAGGTATTTTCTTAAAAAGAATGGGTATTATTGCACTTGTATCTTGTGCGACCCTGCTCCTGAGCAATCTAGAAAAATTGCTTGTTACGAGCCTGCCTTTTATTGTATGGTTTGCATTATATAGTTTTGATTCTATGCTATAACTTTTACCTTGTAATCCCTATGACCTGATTTGTCTGATGCAGCTATCAAAGCAATTTTATCAAGTGAAAAAGAGGTAGAAACAAATGGTAGAGGTCTGCGTGGCAAATTGAATAAAGTTGTTCTAGCTTACAGTGGAGGCTTGGACACATCAGTTATTGTTCCTTGGCTGAGGTACATTCTAACTCTTTTGTCTATTAATGTATTTTTTATGCTTCAAGCTTCACTATTATGGCTTTTAGGTTGAGAGGGGAGGAAATTATATAGATATTTATTTCAACTGAGCTCATTGTAAATAAGAAATCCATCTACACTTTGCTTTTGAACTGATCCATCTAATAATAACAAAACTAACCAGTGTTAAAAGAATGCTGCACGTCACTAATTAAACTAGCTAAACTACTTGTAGCTCCTAGGGAGAGTATATTAATTCCAAAAAGTTCATTGCAAATTGTCATAGTTGTGGAAGGCAATGAAGATTGACTTGCAGATTACTAGTTGGCTAAATCACTTATCTTTACCCAATCCCTAAGCATATCTAATGGACATTTTGTACTTGAGTTGTTTACATCCCTCCATTTTTTTAAAGTATGGGTTACGATGTTTTCCTTTCCTGTACCTTATATAGTTTGAATTTGAAGGGGTAGTGGCAAAATTGCAAGCAGATATATGTATTTTTGGGCCTTCGGCTCAATTGGCACCCATCTCACCATACGGTTCTGCTGAGTGAAATTAATGTAATGCCAAATCAAATTTTATTAATAAAGATGAACTGATTTATTATATATATTGGAGCCTATGGGTCATGATCATGTGTAGCTGAGGGAAAAACAGCTAGTCATCAAGAGCCATAACCCTCTCTGTTCTTTCATCTCACTTGATTGCTGTTCTGTTTTTAACACATACTGAGAATGCTTGCTCTCTGATCCAGGGAAAATTATGGCTGTGAAGTTGTTTGTTTTACTGCTGATGTTGGCCAGGTACATCTTTGGCTAACACTACTATCATTTTTCGATATGATTATGGCTTTCTTTCTTTTTTTATTTTTTTTTCACCTGAATTTCCCTTGTCCGAACGTTTACTTTTCATTCTATTCTTTGAAGTGGGTATTTTCTTCTCTGGTTCAAATGTCATTATAATCTCTGGGTGTTCACTTGATGTAATTTCTCAAAGCTTTTAAAGTGTTTTCCAAATGACAATATGCTTGAATGATATAAGTGTAATTGGACATTCATATGTTATATAATTAAATTTCTAAGAAATTATTGTGTAAGTAATCCTTTAGGTATTTTGTACAAGCTACCCTTCTCTCTCTGTGTGATTCTTTTATTGAAAGTTCTATTCCTAATTCAGGGTCTGCAAGAATTGGAGGGCTTGGAACAGAAGGCAAAGGCGAGTGGTGCATGTCAATTAGTGGTGAAGGATTTGAAAGAGGAGTTTGTCAAAGATTACATATATCCTTGCTTGCGTGCGGGTGCTGTTTATGAGAGGAAGTATTTACTTGGGACGTCAATGGCACGCCCTGTCATAGCAAAGGTATGCATATTAGCTAGTCTAGTTCCCCCCCCCACACACACCCCCCCTCCAACACACACATGGTTAACCTGAAGAAAGCCAATACTACCATCTGTTTGTCAATCATGTACGTGAAGAATCCAACAGATTAATAAAGAATCAATGCGCTTCCTGCTTATTATGTAGGCTATGGTGGATATTGCTAAAGAAGTTGGAGCTGATGCTGTTTGTCATGGGTGCACTGGAAAAGGAAATGATCAGGCATGTTATACCCTCTCCGTACAGTGTAGAATGAGAACTGTGTTTCATTCTCTCTCTGATCAAACCATTATTACTGTTCATTTACAGGTTCGTTTTGAGCTTACGTTCTTCGCTCTTAATCCTGCTCTCAATGTTGTTGCACCATGGAGGGAGTGGGACATCACAGGAAGAGAAGATGCTATTGAATATGCTAAAAAACACAACGTACCTGTTCCTGTAACAAAAAAATCTATTTATAGCAGAGACAGGAATTTGTGGCACCTTAGCCATGAGGTATTTTTCTCATACTTCTTCCTTTCAATTTCTAAAGCTTCTAGACGTGTGTTGTGTTGGGAAAAGTTGCTGGGGGAGGGTTGATTCTTGCATTAGGTTTTAGGTAAGTTGCAGAATCTGATGCTAGATTCTTGATGGAGAACCATATTGCTGACTCCAATTATATTATCGAGTCATTATTTATTTTGATTAAAGTAGTAGTCCATATTACTGTATGTAAAATACTTTGTTGTCAACTGGTCGGTCGTTTTCTTGCACGCATGCAATTGTGCTTGGTCATTTTCTTCCAGTAATGCTGAAGAAGTCTGTTGCTTGATTGTTGTCTCTTGTAATGCTATTTCTGTTGATGGAAATTGAATCTAAATTAATGATCTGACTTATTCTATGATTTCAAAGGGTGATATCCTGGAAGACCCAGCGAATGAGCCGAAGAAGGATATGTACATGATGAGTGTAGATCCGGAAGATGCGCCAAACACACCCGAGTACACATTACATTAATATATCTTTTAGATTTAGTCAATAAGAATTCCTTCATATTTTTACTTTGTTCTCATTGCTATTAAATGTGCAGATACATTGAAATAGGCATTGTCTCTGGATCCCCTGTATCACTCAATGGAAAGGAACTCTCCCCAGCAACCCTATTATCTGAGCTCAATGAGATTGGAGGAAGACATGGAATTGGACGTATTGACATGGTTGAAAACAGATTGGTGGGTATGAAGAGTCGTGGGGTGTATGAAACTCCTGGTGGAACCATCCTTTTTAATGCTGTTAGGGAACTCGAGGCTTTGACCCTTGATCGGGAAACAATACAAGTAAAAGACTCTCTTGCCCTTAAGTATGCAGAGCTTGTTTATGCAGGTCGATGGTTTGACCCTCTTCGTGAGTCCATGGATGCTTTCATGGAGCAAATTACACGAACAACTACTGGCTCAGTAACGCTCAAGCTGTACAAGGGGTCTGTCTCGGTAACCAGTAGGAAAAGTCCATATAGCTTGTACAGAGAAGATATCTCATCATTTGAGAATGGGCAGATTTATGATCAGGCTGATGCTGGTGGTTTTATCAGACTCTATGGTTTACCCATAAGAGTGAGGGCCATGCTTGAAAAGGGCATGTAAGAAATTTTAAGACTTGTGTTGTAACTTCTGATACATGTTGCTTCGTTCTGGTCAGTTTAGCCAAGTTGAGTTAAGAGTTGTATCATCATGACCTAATTGGGTTTTACAGCATTTTATTCAAATCTTCAAGTGAGGATTGATAGGTAATTAATTTTAATAAATATTGTTTTATCAAAACTTGTACAACCAAGATTCATTGTCATTACTATTGTATGATTTGGTGAGTGAGTTGGCATGGCGAACAAGTGCTGTCTCGTGCCTGTTTTTTCTTTCAGGAGCCAATGTAAGCACTGTTTTTGGTAATTCTGGTTCACGGCACAAGTTAAAATTTCAAATCAATAATTATATACTAAAAGACACACCAACAATAACACATGTCATCTCCTGGTGTGTCTTTAGTTTTTTTTGTTAATTTTTTTTTTACGAAATTAGTGATACAAATGTTATAGAAATATCTTGATTAATTTTTCTAAATATATACTTCCTATTCCTTAAAAATGATATGACATATCTTTTTACAATATTTTTTTGTCAAGTTTTCAGAGAATATATTCTATGTATATACAATATTATACTTCATAATTTACTTATATAGAATATTATACTTTGTAATAACTTAATTATAAGTAATCCCCGTACAATGTACAGGACCTAAACTAGTACTACGTAAATCCTTAGCCATAACATTCATACAAGTATTTAATTCCACGAACAAAGAGCTCTGTTTTTATGAGTTTGGTTGTTCTCAGAGCAAATCCAATCTACTGGGGGCTAAAACAGCATATATTGGTCTATAATTGTTCTCATATTTCCGACCCTAGCTAACTAGCAAAAATAGTAATAACTCAGGCATAGAAAAAAAAATACAAAAGCTTTGGATATTATACATATATACGTATATGATTGCACCAAAGACAATTTTGGGTAGAGAACTTCCAGCAATGAATCAAACAAATGAAGCTTAAGCTACAAATGCATATCATGTGCTTGAGAACTATAAGAATTACAACATGAGGAGGTACAACTCTTGAGTCTTGACCATATATGCCTATTTGCTATGTACATATTCAAGTAGAAGCCGATCAAGCTCGAAATGCCGAGACAAATATTCCTGCAAAAATCCAATAGTGACACACAAATGTGAAAAGCTCGAAATGCCGAGACAAATATTCCTGCAGAAATTCAATAGTGACAAACAAATGTAAAAGTGACTGAGCAATCTTCAGATCAAATTGAAAAAAGACCAAAAGATTTAGGGCATGCTTGGATTGGGGGTAATATATTAACTATTAAAGGGGTAATAAAAGTCAAACTTGAAAAAACATAAGTAATTAGAGGTGGTGTTGTAGAAGGTATGGTATTTACAAATGAAATAAAATAGTTGTTCCATGAGGAAAAGAGAGAGGTGAGGAATTATTACCCTCAAAATGAGGGTAATAGTTACACACCCTCCCCCTAGTGTAACTATTATCCCCAAAATGAGCCTCTTTCTTCACCTCATACCTCACCATCACTACATAATTTTCCTTACAAGCACACCATCACTATCTCCTCCTTCCCTATTTACTTTCATTTTGCTTAGTTTGACTTTTATTACCCTATTAATACATTTCCCTCGATCCAAGCATGCCCTTACTGGTGAAACAAAGGTACTGTACCCAGTAAATCTTTCACGTCTCCTAACAACAGAATAAGTGAATATCCACTACCTCTAGGCAATGACATTAGATTTAAAAACTGGCATATTATTCAGCAGACCACGGAATAAACAGAGCATCTTATTCATGTACTAGCAGGTATGTATGTCCCAGTTTTATTGTCTACTTCCATTTTGGTCCATGCTTGCTTGCTTGAACGCCTTAATCGCATAAGTGGGGTTGGCTACATGAACCCACGAGTACTTCCCAGGAGGTCACCCATCCTAGTACTACTCTCAATCATTGCGGTTCATGTCATGTGTTGTGACAAAGTTTTACACTGGCCTACCAGAACCCTCTTTTATCCAGGCTTGGTCCATCCCAATCAAATATTTTGGAACCACTTTCGCTTACTACCTTTCCTCTCTCCATCACAGTAACCTTTTTTCTTAATCACTCTTACACTCACTATAATCATAAGCTTCATCCAACTTCAGTAATTTTGGTCACATCCAACATGCAACCAATTCCTACTACTTTTCTTAGTATGCGTGATGAAGCCAAATTGGAAGAACAAATTGGGACGGATCCTCTACATAATATATACCCAACAGTCATTTCGACCGTAGCATTGCATTGAATCCCATACACTAGGTTGATCAGTAGAAAATTTCCTCATCCTAGTCATGTATCTTTTGTCTGCATGCCTTATGCCCTTACGAAGAGAGAAATCTGTGCAAACCAACCCAAACTAGAAGAGTAAAGATCACTTGTTGATGTGGCTGTATTTGCCTTCAAATTAAAATAACATTGACAGAAAGACAGGGGGTTAAGGGATATTTTATTTAGACCATTTCTATAGACTTTAAACTTGATAAAGCTCATACATATGCCACAAGAAGCCCTTTATATGTCATCCTATAATTATGTAAAGGTGATGAACTGATGATAATCCACGGGCAAAGTACCAGATCAACTAGGCGTATAGAGAGTAGATCCAATAAGCCAGAATATGCAGACACAAGAAATGTCAAAATCATACATTCAATCATGTACAGAAGAGTGAAGAGGGGGACAGTTTGGGAATCAATACTAGCATGTATATTGACAAGGACAAAAAGGTCATTCTCATTATCAATATTAACACATCTTCAACCATCAATTAACATACTAAATTAAAGCAGTAAATGCAGTTATCAGGCATGCAGTGTGTGTACCTTGGTTACAGAAGGATGAAAAACTTTTGCATCGAAATCCACTTTTGGGTAGCGAGTTATCTCGGTAGCGTTCTCAAATAATATGTATGCTGGAAGTCCCACGTTTCCTATAGATACAGGGTTTAATAAATTACATTGCTAGTATCAGTTATTCACAATTACTGACTAAAAGCAACCATAAGCAATAAAATCTACAGAAAAGACAGGCAAATAATCTTTTCCATGGCAAAAATTTACCTTTTAGGGTAATTCCAACTTTGTCAGCAACGTTAGGGAAAAGCCCAAGATCAACTATACCAAAGGACAAATTATCATTTACATATCTGCATTGAATATTCAAAATTACAGAATGATTGTCAGTACTCAGTAGAACAGAGATAAGAAATAAGATTATTTCATCAGAATCTGGCATCTCTAGGACAGAATGATTAGCCCCAAGTTTATATATATAAATAAAGAAAGAAATTATAAAAAAAAAAAAAGAAAAAAAAAAAAAAAAACACTTACGTAACAGAGAGTTCAGGAAAATTGCGACTGTTCCGTACACACGTTGACGAACTTAAAGTACGAAATTCAACCTAAAACAGTGGAATTCAATGAGTCATCAACTTGACAAGTCATTTGGTAGAGATAATGAACTATGATTTGAGTGACAGTAATGAGTCCTCAGCCATTAAAAGCCTCAACGACATGTTTGATAGGTGATAATGAATGACAGTAATGGTAATGAATCTATATGTAAAAGTCCCTTGATAATTCCTTGGTAATTCAAACTCCATCACCAAACATGTGTTTTCTTGATTATTTCAATTTTCCATTATCATCCAATTATCAATTTAGAGGTGGTATTGAAAATTCACAAAGAAAAGAGATGTTAAATCTAGACAAGCATTAACAAGTACATTGACATTTGAAATGGGACTTCCCTTACAAGATTAATATAAATTCACTACTATTACCACCTTTTTTTTTACCACCTACCAAACAGGCCGTAAAGAGATGAGAAAAATAAGACTAAACATGTACAAATATGCATGAATACAGAATTTTTAGGTCACCAAACTGACATGAAATTCAGTAATTATATAACGTGATGATTGGCTCGGATTGGCTCGGCGACAAGGATATTCAGTTGATGAGTGCGCCAATACTAAAATCCAAATGAAGGAATTGCTGTATATTACTACAAATTTGGTAAATACTTATAGGACTGCGTCAAAAATGCAGGGCCTGACAAAGCACCAAGTCCAAGGGATCATATAGTCATAGTCCTCACAATAGCCAAGCTAATACTAGGTTGGATTAGGAACCCAAGGTAATCAAGATGATTGAAGGTACCTCATGTTAATACAAGAGAACCATCCCCAAAAACTAGCTCAAAGGGAGTAGAGCCCATAGACCTATTTAAGCTCCACACCAGTACCCCCAAATGACCAACATGGGACTAAAGTCCCATAACTTGAGATTTCCTCAAATTATGTTGCATTGTGCCCCCATAATAGAACTAATCCTTTGACTTAGTGGGATATTGATATTTTTCAGACCTAGTAAGCCAGCAAATGAATCTCATTCTGATTCAAAATGGTCAATATTTCCTGTTCCTAAAAACTGAACTTACAGCAACAATCCACAAATCCTCGGAAAGGAGCATGGGAGAGAGAGAGAGAGAGAGGAGGATAAAAGATAATAGGTTGCAGTTTACAAATGCTATCATACCATCATTAAACAGAAAGTCGAGCCTTCTAATTCAGTATGAGAAGTGAAACATGAAAAGATCTAATGAAGAGTTCACCCACCAGCCAATATCTTGACGAAACCCCTTCGATCAATGTACTTTCCAACTGCAATGGCGTCATAGTCTTTGCCGCGCCTATGGAAAATCATGCAAAGATCAATGGCAGAGCTCAGCTATCAACTTTTTGAAACAACTTTTGATGGAAATCTCATTTTAAAAAGAGAAGCTGGGGGATGGGGGAGAGAGATGTATGGGTACATTTATCGGCTTACCCAGTTCTGGAAATACAGGTTGCTGAGAGAGTATATATAGCACTGCAAGAAGAAAACACCAAAATTGTGTCAGTCACACGTGACAACCAACTTCAGCACAACAAATTGTATAACAGTGATTACAAAACTAAAGCAAGTCACAAAAGAAAATAAACACTCCACTCATTAGCTTGACTGGTGCAAAATAGCTTCAAAGTCATTTATGTCACTTGAGGAGTTGGGGGCTAGACACTTGTTATATTTTTACATAATACATGAATGAATAAGAGCTGATAAGTGATAGCAACAGCACTTAATCCAGTACTAAATATGTACACACCGAAAGTAATTCAAATGATATAAGACTTGGTTTAAAAGAAAACATACAAAAAAATATGATAACCTCAATTAAATAAATTAGAAAACAAAACAAAACTTGAGAGCGCTTTCCCTAAATAATGCTACGAAGAGTTGCAATTCCAAGTATACAACTACTTTTTTAAAAATTCCCAATATACCGTCCACGTTAGCGGTTTAATTGGGTAATTATTTTTCTGGTTTTTTTTTTTTTACCAAACCGCTAACTCAAATAGCGGTTTATAGAAAAACCGCTACCTAAAGTAGCGGTCTTCTTGTGAGAAAACCACTACTTCATGTAGCAGTTTCCTACCTTATATATATGTTTGAAAAAAAAAACTCCTTATTTTTTCCTCTAATTGTCCCAATATGTCGTTCATACCAAAGAAGCTCCAATTTCCATTGCCATCATACTTATCCAATATTCAGATCTCACACAAACTTCTCTCATTCTCTCTTCCAATTTCATTATCCATTGCCGTTCATCCTCAAAGTTTTGGGTGGATTCAGATTGGGCATAGATAAATTAAGTTTGAGAATTTGATTTTTTTTAATTCAGATTTTGGATGGTTTCATGGTTTTATCTTGCAAATCTCTTTCTCAATCTTTATGTTTTATTCAAGGTTGATTTCGCCTCCGCCTTCTCCACCGCCTTCGTCGTCATAGATTGTCGCCGCAAGGTTAATGCAATATATGCCCAAATGTAAATTTTTGTAGTTATGTAATCTAGATCTAACCAAGTTTAGATTTTTTTTGGAGTATTATCAATCCTAATTTACTTGATTTTGTTCTTTCTCTGACTACTATCAATCTTGAAACATCATCGTTATGTGATTTTATTTTATTTTTTTTATTTGTTTGTTGATTTTTTTTCATGCTTTAATTTTGAGTTTTGATTATTTGAGTTTAGGTAAATATTTGAGGTGGGATGGAAGTGAAATTCTGGATGAATCGAAGAACATCCTGTAGCTAGCTCAAGATTTGTTTTTAAAAAAATTTAAGTAGAAACCGCTACTTCGAGATTGTTTGGTATCACGGTGGTTTTCTATTTTTTGGTTTTTTGTTTTTTCTTTTTCAAAATCATATGATAATGTCATATAATGAACCAAAAATTAGTCAAACTTATTAAAATCATGATAATTTCAAAATTGATGACAGAAAAGTAAAAATAACTTTTTCTTATTTCTTGTTTTTGGTTTTTTTGTTTTCAAAATAACTGAAAACAAAAACAAAAAACAATGTCAAACAAGCCCTCAAGTAGCCTAACGGTTTACAGCTTTAAAAACCGCTACTTCAAGAGTTCAAGTAGCGGTTCCTCACTGTGCCGATAAAAAAACAGTTTTTTTATCTCCACTTGCTGACGTGGACGGTAGATTGGGAATTTTTAAAAAAGTAGTTGTAAACTTGGAATTGCAACTCTTCGTAGCATTATTTAGAGAAAGCGTTCAAAACTTGACAAGTATTTGTGGGTATAAAACTATAGGTTTGCAAAGGATTTGTTCCAATAAAACACACACACACACTACTCATATGTTTGTGAACTCATAAAGTGTGTCTTCATCCGAAGTTGCTCTTGTTTTTTTATGTCAATGTATCAGCCCGCATGCTAGTAAAAGCCAAAAATTACAAGACCTACCTAAAAATGCCACCATGTACCATAAAGCCAAATGGTAATCCACATATAGAGCAAGCAGAAAAAGAAATGCCTGGAGTCAGGACAAAAACTGGAATCAGAACAAGCAAAGATTTAAATAATTCAATCAGCATAAACCAACATCTCTACCACAACTATGGAGTACAAACTAAAACTCTGCTTTTATTACAATAAAATTGGCGAAAGAATTAAAAAAAAAAAAATGCTATGGGCATCCCTATCAGTAACGCTCTAAGATTTCTCTCAATTTCAAGTCCAACATATTACACTATAGGAATTGCAATAACAATAGAAGCTCCTTGATTAATTCAAGAATTATCACAGTAAGCTGAACAATCATCCATTGCAGATAAAACACAGAATGTGATATTCATGTTGAAGAAAATAATGACAGAAGTTCGTTAATTGGTTCAATTCAAGTATTACCACAATAAGCTGAGCAATCTTCCATTACAAATATAACAGAAGGTGATATTCATGTTAAAAAAACATATTAACATTTAACATTTTTCTGAAAACTTTTCACCAGTGATTCAGTGAAACACAATATCTATAAAATAAAGTTATCCATGAGAATACAGAGTCAATGAAACAACTATTCATCATTTATAATACTAAAAGAATAGAATTTTTTTTGATAAATAAGGTCATTTTGTAATAACACTTATGTGATAACCAGTAACCAAAGCTTATTAATTAGCACCCGTCAGAGGATAAAATAACCTACATATTAGCAACTTGTCAAGGTTAATCTGTCTAAAAAGTCTCTCTCTATCGCTTCACTTCGTTTAGGTATAAAGGTTGTATACATCTAAATCTCCCATTAAGGCCAAAGTTCCCCTTTCCAAACATTGGAAGCTCAAAACTCAAGGAAATTCAAGAGGAAACCTGTTATGTGAATGACCTGTTTTAGATGCATAATAAGACCTTTTCTCTAATAGTCTCTTCTAAAAAACCAAATTTAACTTTAATGCCTTCTTTATTTGCACTTTTTTTTGATGTTACAATTTCAGATTTCTAAACGAAATTATTGAATCATTGTCTTTATTCTACATTTCCACGGCTCCTACCTGCAAGGGAAAAAAAATAAAATAATAAAATAAAAAAGGGTGCTTCCCCAATTACCTGATTTGCGTCAAACTTTACTGTTTCTCAGTCTGTGCAACATAGGTGCATTACATGCATATAGTGTGATTCATACAAGGTTTGATGTTGTTGCTACCGTTGTTTATGACAAGTCAGTCACACACCCCTAACGTTTACCAACCTCACAAATTTTAGTTTGTTAGTTATTTGGCATCTGCCTCACACATTCAAATAAATTTATCATATTTCATAGTGAAAATCTGATATATTGACATTGACCAGATACTACAATATACAGTATAATCATAAGCAGGAAGTAAAAGATGGTAGCTAAACATGTTTTGTTGCTGTAGTTAAGTGATTAAATGGATCATTATAGCATCTAATCCCTGTTCAAGAATTTCGGCCATTGTATCTTCAAGGAGCCATGAAAACGAGGGCAGAAGTTAACCGGGTTTTTCACATGAAAGTAATGAAACCATCTGGTGGTTCTATAATCCATTGCCTCTTCTCTTTAAAGCCCGATATGGCAACATGTCTATCCAAGAGAGTTGATTGCTATAATTTTAGCTACCTGGCCTACCTCCAAATCTCCAATAGTTCCCTAATCATGTATAGAAATAACAAAATGGGTATTTGCCTTGTGTAAGAACAAAGGCGCAAGGCACACTAAGACGATAGGGCTCCTAGAGCCTGCACACAAGGTGCACTAAGGCAATAGGGGCCCTAAGCACACACGGTTTCGAGTAACCAATCTATGGAGGGTTTTACTTGATTACTCAAGTCAATCTAATTCCTAATACCATCACTAAAATCATACTCATACTATCTACATTCAACATAATAACATATAATAATAATAATGAATTTCAGCAAAAATTGAATCAAGGTATCACCTTCCCAAAAAGCAATGTATCACCAATAACTCCCTCCCATGTTTCTTCCCTTACCATCTGGGTAAATTTCAACAAAAGATCAAAAATTCAAAATCAATCACCCATTTTATAATCAATATTACTGCTAAAAAAAATTGAAATTGAATAAAAAAAATTTAAAGAAGAAATACCCTGACAGCAGAAAAGATTGTAAATGCGAGAATTGCTTGAATCTCCTGCAAAAATCAACAAAAAATCAATAAAAAAAATTTTGACAATCAATCACATAAAATTAAAGATAAAGGAGAGAAAAAAAGCTTGGTTACCCGGCGAAGAAGAAGGAGAGAAACATCATGAGGAAAAATGGAAGAAGCAGAAATACGAATTGGAAGGTAAGAGAAGAAAACCAGGAAATGGAAGAAATAATGTGGTTCTGTAACAACTGTATTCAGCCATTGAAATGGATTTCTTATCATTGCTTTCTATTTATAGTAATCGATCTATCAATCAGATTATTCTGCAAAATCTGCAATTTTCTGTTTTCAGATGCTGAATCTTCTTCCTTCAGTTCTCAGTTTTCACTGAAAAACTGTGAAGTTGAAGAAAGAAAGAAGTGTTGAGTTTTTAGAAGTGGGCTTTTTTCAAGAGAAACCAAGAAAAGCAAAAGTTTGAGAAAATTGGACTGATGCATTCTCCATGTGGAATCGATTCATGGGAAATTATTTCCATCAAATTTCTAGGGAATTGCTTTAGTTTGTTTGTTTGGCATTAGGGAATTTACAATTCCTAAAAAATTTGAATTACCCAGGGGCGGTGGGTAAATGAATTCCCACATTATGTATTTCCTAGGAATTTTGAGTGCCGACACAAAATTGGTGCAACTAAACAAGACCTAAACCTCTAAGATATAAAGCAAGTCTCTTACGAAGTTAGTCAAGTCTTGCTTGATGACCACAAAGAAATCATGATGAGTCAACAGTTATATTAGTATCTACTTCGAATCAGTTACCAAAATTATATACTAACCATAATTTACAAGATTTTGGATTGAATACCAAGGCCTTTTTTTTGAGCTGTTGTGCTCTGCTCTGCATTGCTCTGTTGAGTCTTATTCTGCTCTGTTAAAATCTGCCCTGCTCTATTTAAATCTGCTCTGCTCTGCTCTGCTCTGCTTAAAAATAATAATTAATAATAATAATAATTAGTATTTAGTAATAATAATAACTAATATTTAAAGATAATAAGTAATTAATATTTAATAATAATAATGATAATAATTAATATTTAATAATTATAATTAATATTTAATAATATTAATAATTAATATTTATAATAATAATTAATACTTAATAATAATAATAATTAATGATACAAATTTAATAATAATAGTAATAATAATAGTACTAATAAAAATAATAATTAATAATAATTAATAATAATAATAATTAATATTTAATAATAATTAATATTTAATATTTAATAATAATAAATTATTAATATTTAATAATAAATTATTAATTATTAATATTTAATAATAAATTATTAATTATTAATTATTATTAATAATATGAATTATAATAATAAAAATTAATAATAAAAATAATAATAATTAATATTTAAAGATAATAATAATAGTAATAATTAATATTTAATAATAATAATAATAATAATTAATATTTAATAATAATAATAATAATAATAAAATATGCTCTGCTCTACTCTGCTGATTCCTACTCTACTCTACCCAGAAGCTCAAAAGAAGAGGGCCCAAGTATATGATGCCTCTCCTGAATTATTGAACTTTATTTGATTACTTGCATGATTGCGCTCAAACTTGATGTCATGCTCAAGCAATATTAAGTCTAAAATATGATACACAAAACTCAATTGTATATTCCCAACAAACCTTATTGTGCTCTTTACTTTATTAGTTTTAACTTTAATATAATTCCTCTATTCTTGAAAATTCAACTCACTTAAAATTTACACGATTTTCACTATGCATTTTTGTTGTTAAAACACATTGTAGACTTGTAGCTCCACTTGTGAGTGTCTCACATTAGAAAAGAGGAAAAATGGTATCACCTTATAAGGTAAATGAGTTACTCCTACTATCACTAGTTAGTTTTAGTACAGATTATTGTTTTCGAGTTAATAATTATGGTTTTGGATTAATATTTAAAGTTTTCTTGTTAGTAATTATGGTTTTTAATTGGGTTAATGTTTATGGTTTTCTTGTAAATATATAGATACGATTTTGGGTTAATTGTAACAAATAATTGTTAATAGTTATGGCTTTGGGATTAAAATTTATGGTTTTTGGGTTAATATCTATGAATTATGATGTCTTGTTATTAGTTTATGACTTTATGCATGGTTACTCTTTTTAGGTAATGTTTTTCTGGTAAATAGTTACGATTTCTAGTTGATTGTAACTCTTATATACTTCCTCTGTTTTCTTTTAAATACAACACACCTTTTTAACACGTTTTTTTAGGAGGTGATTCGAATAGGTAAACGTGCTACTTTATTAAAATAATTTTAACACCACTATTAGAGAAGGGTTAGCTAATATGTGTATAAATTATTTTGATTAATTTGTCTGTTTACCAACTCTAATCACCTCCTAAAAAAGCGTGAAAAAAAGGTGTGTTGCATTTAAAAGAAAACGGAGGAAGTATCTCGTAAGTACACCAATATAATATTATTTATCTAGTAATTTCGCACATGTCAGATGGCCAAACATGCACGTTGTATACTTATAAATTTATGATAATGGTACTTAAGTAATTATAATAATTAGCCAATTAGTCCTGTATTTTGTTTAAAGTGGTTGCCCTGAACCTCAATTTCGAACATTTAAGTAGTGAATTGAGGGTGTCTTTATTGCAAGTCTAAAGCGGAGTCCCACGAAGAGTCTCATGCAAGACTTTGGCAATAATGTCATAAAAGATTATCATGAATCTTGCATGCGGTTTGGCACATGAAAACCCAGCTTAAGACTATGCATGTGGGGGCAATAAGCTGACAAACTTTGCATGGCCAATAATATATTGCCAACTCAACACAAGTTGTTGAATAATTAATGTTAGTATTAGGAGGGTAAGTGAGTCTGGAGTGAGTCTTGGGATAATGTGTGAAAATAGAAAAAGTTTTGTGTAAGTCTGAATAATAAAAAAGTAATTAAAAATTAGTGGAAAGCTGTTGTGACAGAATATGGAGTTTGAGTCTGGGTCTCAGGATAAACTCACCTTGAGCACAAGCTAAGCTTGAAAGTAACACCCTAAATGCTATGCTCCTAATGTATAATCAACTTCGACATTTAATCTCAAAAAAGGCACCAAATTAAAGCATAGCAATTATTATTTTACAAGATGGATACATTTTAAACAACGAACATGGCATAAATTCAAAGTACTCCGTACTATAAGAAGGGGTTAAGGAGTACTAATAATGATAATGACAGCGCATTTTATGTGCGATTGGCTATATTATGAGGCCGCTTGTAAAAAAAGCAAAAAAACTCATATAATACTGCTCGAGTAACTCCTGTATTACTGATCGAGTAACCTCTAAAACACTAACGAAGTAACCTCTGTAACACTGACCGAGTAACCCTTAGAAGGCTATAACACAATGAAGTAACCCCATAATGGTTGACCACACCGTATGACTAGCCTCTAATAATTTGTGTAATAATAATAATAATAATAATAATAATAATAATAATAATAATAATAATAATAATAATAATAATTGTCGGGCAATTGGATATGGTTTCCTCCCCTTCTCCTTTTCTTCACTTGGAGAATTAGAGAAAGAGGTTATTGCGTTGTTGAACAGAGTTCAAAAGCTCACTACTACAAAATTGTCCAAAGTAGAGGTGAAAGTTCGGTATTCAGTTTGGATTATGCCCAAACCGAAAATAATTCGGTTTTAAAATTTTCAATCCAAATCCAAACCGAATAAGAATCTATTCCAATCCAAACTGAACCTAAATTCCAACAAGAAAACCGAACCAATCCAAATAATTTAGGCTAATTTTTATTAATATGCAATTTTTGTAATCAAAATTATAAAATAAACGGATTTTTCACCAAATACCACTGAGTTATTTCGTAATTCACCATATACCACACAAAATTTTTTAATACACCAAATACCACTGAGTTTAACATAAATGTCACAACATGACATTTCCGTTAACTCAGTTAGTCATTAACATTAATTATGCCACGTGGCAGCTTGTAATTGGTTCTAATTAATATTATTTATTTAATTAATTTACTTTAGAAAAATTATTTTTAAATATAAAATAAAAATTAAACACCACCAACACAAGCCACCGCCGCCCCAGCCCAACCCCCACCCCCGGCTAGCTAGCCACGACCATCCCCCCGCCAACGACATTCTCGACCCCAGCCACCTCTTCCTCTCGAATTCCCAGCCACCACCTGTGAATTCCCCTCTCCCTCCCGAAATCCCCAGCCACCACACCTTAGCCGAATTCCCCAACACCACCTGCGAATCCCGCTCTCCCTCCCGAATCCACCTGCGTATCACCAATTCCCTACTACGATTTGCCTGTCATTCTGTCAATAACCAAACAAGCCGATTCAAGAACATTCATATCAAAATATATATATATATCGCCCTTCTCACTCCTTCAATAAAAATATAACCAATGTAACCATAAAGATTACAAAAAGTAGCTGAGTCGGGGCAAAAGCTTAAACAGTCAGCCAAACACAATCATGATTATAAAGTAGTACCAAGTATATACGAACAAATCAATTGCTTTTATAATCATCAATCCTTTGATCTTTTCAATGAAACCATTATTTCATTAACATAACTACTTCCCAGAACATAATTGTTCGCAAATCTCACCACACAAGATTAAAAGCACGAAATGGGCAAAAATAAAATTAGAAAACACCTGCGATTGGCGGTGTTGGCTGTGATTTGATGCGCAATTAGGGAATTGGTGATGCGGCGCCGCGGCGGGGCTTTTATTGTTGGTGCGAGGAGAGACAACGGCAGCAAGGCTGCTGTTCGTGAAGGATAAGGGAGTTGTGGTTAGGTGGGGTGGGGAGTTCAGGCTCGTTGGTGGGGCTTGTGGGAGTTTAAGGTGGTGGGGGTTGGCTGCGGTGGTTGGAAAGGGGTGGAATCGGGGCTGCAGAAGGGTTGGGTGGAATAAGGACTGGTTGGTGCCTTGGTGATGGTGGGATGAAACCGGAGTGCTGCAGTGGTGGTGGGAATGGGTGGAGCACTAGTGGTGTTTCGGGGAAGGACAGAGAAAATAATTTTATTTTTTTTTAATAATTAACTAAATAATTATTTTAAAATTAAATAATTAAAAAAGGAACCAATTATATTTTGCCACGTGGTATTATTAGCCTTAATGACTAACGGTGTTAACGTCCGTTAGTCATTAATGGTATGTCGTGATATTTACCAAAAACTCAGTGGTATTTGGTGAATTAGAAAATTTTGTGTGGTATATGGTGAATTACGAAATAACTCAGTGGTATTTGGTGAAAAATCCGTAAAATAAAATCTATAATCTCAAAATTAGCTTTACATACAAATTACATCAAATAACTATGAGTATTCACATACAATTTCAGATCCAACGACCTTAAACATTACCCAGAAAAATAAATTACATAATCAATAACACAAATAATAGAGATTAAATTGAAAATTTAGCATAAACTAATTGAAATTTACAACTTTGATTAAGCATTATCTCACCCTTGATTTCGCCTATTAACTGCTACTTGGCGGTGGATGACCATCTTAAGGTTGTTGATGCCGGCAACGAGGTAATGGATGTGGCGGTGGTCATGGTTACCGGTTTACGTTACAGATGAAGAAAAGGATGGGGAACGATGATTGATGTATAAATTGTTGAAGTACGAGAAAGGGGAAGATGAGATCAGAGGATCTACGAGAGAAGAGGAGATGAGAGAGAAAGAGAAGAGGAGAGAAAAAGGGGAAGGCGGGCCGAAATGAATTGGGCTCAAGCATCATGTGCTTATATCTTGGGCCATAATTTGGTTTAAAATTCGATTTTCGGGTTTTTCCAACCCAAAACCGGAATTCAAATCGTAATCCATATTTTATCATTTTTCCAAACTGATCCAACCCGAATTAAAAAAAATCCAAACCGAAATACTAATTCAGTTCGATTTTCGGTTCAGTTCGATTTTAATCCAAATTACTTTCACCACTAGTCCAAAGAGACCATATTAAAATGGACAAAGAGACCATTTTAGGTGTGTTCTCTAAGCAGTCTCTTTGGCCAAAAGTGGTCTCTTGTTTTGAAAAGAGAGACCATTTATTTTAAATAAGTGGTCTCTATTTTTTTTAAAAACTAAGACCGTCTACTTAAAATAAATGGTCCTAGTTTTTCAAAACTGAGACCACCTATTTCAAATAGATGGTCTCTTCCTTTGTTTTTTTAAAAAAACAAAATTATTTGTTTTTAATAATTATATATAATTACAATTAAACAAAAAAACAATACCTTTACTTATAACATTTACAACGAAATACAAGTAGTTTATACTTACAATAAAATTATACAAAATCCATACTAAAAACATACTCACAAATATTACGGAGTACAATCAATCTTCTTATTAAAAATTATACAAAATTCATACTAAAAATATACGTAATAAAAAAACCCCTACTAATAACAAAATCCTCAACAATGCTATTAATCAAGGACTTGAACCGAACAATTCAATTCAACATGCAAAACCATTTATCTTCTTCAATTACACTTTATATCCTGAGTTTTTTTTTTTTTTTTGCAAGACATCCAAAATTAGCAGACAATTATAATTTAAAAATATTAAACAAACGCATAAATTAGAACAAGATACCCTCCGCACTATATATTTCACACAAAAATCCCACCTCGATTCAAAAGCTCGATGAAATCACTAGCATAAACATCCTCTGCAACATCAAACTCCTTAAAATAATACGGAGTATACTGCCACATACAATATTAATCAATTCCACAAGTTGGCAAATTCCCTTTTTAATCTAATCCGAACAAGATAATCATACTCAAAATACAATCAATGAAAATCAAATTAAGAGATTGGTTTGATTTACCGAAACACCACCACTACGAACAGCTTTTCGTCGCGCAATCCTAACATATTTTCTACAACAAAAAATCAACGCAATTAATTTTCAACATCTTTCTAATATCTGATTTTGAAAATGCAACAATCAAAAAGTCATACAACAAAATACGGATCTAGAAATTCTTATTTGAAGTCTTCAAACATAAAGTATATAACAAAATGAAATCGCATAAACCTACTCTAAAATCTGAAGTTTAATCTAACATTTAATGGTTAGAATTTGTTCACCTAAAATAAATAATCGAAATTACTTATCACGAACAAGAGAGTAAGAGTTGTGGATAGATTCTGGGAGAAAAATGGTTTCCCGTATTCGTCGGTCGTCTCCGTTTCGCCGAGCGCCGCGTAGCGAGGAGAAGAAAGGGGTTTCACCTCCACGGATTAAAGAACACACCAAATCCAGTTGGCAAAACGAATCCAATTTGAAGATTAGCCATTGACGAATACAAAACAAATCATACTCAAAATGTAGATCGTTGAATAATGAGTCCGAATATTTTGACAGAAACTCATAATTCAAATCTTAAAAACGAAGATCTGGGAAATTTAGAGTTGCAGAGTTTTAGTTTAGAAGGAGAAGAGATTGAGGAGAGAGAAAGAGAGAGACATTATGGAAAACGTCTAATTGAAGATATGAAATAAAACCCATGCTAATGTTTTAAAAATTAAAACCCTTACACGATTTTTTTAATTAAATAACAAAAAAAAAATCATTTATTTAAGAAAAGTGGTCTCTTTTTTTAAAAAAATTAAAAAAAAAAAGAGAAACCATTTATTTTTAAAAAGTGGTCTTTCTATTTTTTTGAATTAAATAAATAAATAAAAAAGACCATTTATTTAAGAAAAAATGGTCTCTTGAAATAAAGAGACCAAATATTTAATTAAATGGTCTCTTATTTGAAGTCTCTTTGACCATTTTTGTAGTAGTATCTCGACGACTCAGGATATTGGGACACGTGTTACTACTCATATTTTCACTTGGATAAGTTTTGCTATAACTAGAAGAGTAGTATAACTTTGTCTGTTTTTGAGATATAATATTAATATTAATAATAATAATAATAATAATAATAATAATTAATGAAATCCAACTCACTCATGACCATGGAAATCTACTTGGACAACTTTTTGGTGAGGCTAGGCCAACTCACATTTACTTGTTCCCTCCAACTGTTGATTTTAAATCTAATATTGATGACTAGAATAATACTTCATATTGGTTATCATTTCATCATCAGTTTCAAAGTTATTGAAACAATTGACTTTGGCCCTTTTCATATACTAAATCTAAACTAATGCTACCACCGAATAAAACATTGCGTTATATTCACGTGATTTTCAATTAACTATTTTTTTTATTAAATTATAAAACATACTCTATATCTATTTATAGTTAGGTGGGTAGCTTATTAGTCTTTAATTTTATCAGTTCAAAACTTTTAATTATATAAACGCTATGAAACTTTTGGCCCAAAATTAACGTGTCATGAACTTTGAAGTCATGGTAAGTGTTACGAAGTAAGTATATCTGACTATTCTCGGTAACTTTTGCATACATATTATGATTTGACGATATCATTTTTTTTAACGCTAGGAGAAGAACCTTATCAGGTCTTTAATCCTTTCGATTTGATCCTATATTATTAGTAAGTTAGGTATTTTGGTGTAGGGAATGAAGGCAATTAAGCTTAGTAATGTCTAAACCCAAGCATTTTCAATTGACAAGTTTCAAATCTCAAACATCTAATTCTAGGTAAGACTTTTATCAAGTGAGTCAAGTCTTCCTTAATACAACATACCTTAATTATATCATGTTTACGAATTAATAAGAGTACAATATACACATCTCCAAAAGGAGAGACACATAGTATAAGAAGTGCATAAAACGTATGAAGGTCAAAGGAAATTAAAGGGAGACAATAAGAGTATCGGAATAACATGATTAACATCTACGACTTCCACCGACGTGCGGGTCATAAGATACGCAAGTACATGAACATAACAAAAAAATAAAATCTAATACGTAGTAAAAAAAAACAAAAAACAAAAAAAAATGGAAAAAAAACACACACACATCACGTGACAGCGTGGCACGTGGGCTCACGTTATATCGATCAAACCCTTCCAGATCAGACGGTGAAAGAAAACAGAAAAGAAAAAGGAAAAAAAACGGACCCACGATTCCTGCCACGTGGCATTGACCACCGTTAGATTGGCTTTTTGACGGTATCTAAGACACTCCCTCACATGTGGGTGACCTTCACTGACAGTATTCTTAGCCTAATCACGTGCCGTTTGGTATTGGTACCCATCCTCCTCTTCCTTTTTAGTCCCTTCTTAAAATAAAAAGGGAAAAAAGTGCAATTTAATCAAAAATCATAATTCATCATTATTCCATAAAATTAAATTAATAAAGTGTATTATTTGATCTTATGTTTTTCTCAAAAATTAAACCCTCTTCTCTAAGCAACTATCAATGGGAGCACTACATTTGGTTCCTTTTAGTTTAAGCTAGGTCCAACACTCTATATTTATCAACCAACTAGAGCACATCCGTGTTAATGCACGAAATATATTATACGTAAAAGAAAACAACACAGAGTGAAATGTTGATAGTTATTAGAATCCCTTAAAAAAAATTTAAAAAAAAAAATAGTTGAATGGATAGTTTTTTTTTTTTTTTTTTTTTTTTTTTTTTATAAAAAAAATGCATAGAATTTGAATATTGGAGATTTGGAGGATTGTGGTGAAGTATTGTAAAATTGACTCTTAAATTATATAATAGATTTCAATGGAGATTGTGCTAATCAATGCTTGTTTATTTTGATTAGTGGGAATTTTTTACATTTTTTCCATGGTCATAAAGTATGACTATTTTTGTAGTTGCATACAGCCATACAGGTGAAATATATGAAAAGTGTAATTTAAAATAAATATTGACATAATTCTAATAATGTCTCACTTGATAATACTCCATGTTATTTTATAAATATTACGATATTACTGAAGGTAGCCAAATATTTCTTAATTCGATCATGTGAGCAAAATTTGAAATAAAAATAAAAAATAAAAAATAAATAAAAAGTTGTGTGTATATGCTAAAGCCAATAAATGTTTATTGAAGGGTAAGTGTGACCCAAATTTTATGTCTCTAAATCTAATATATATATATATATATATATATTAGGCATTTTTGGAGAGCATTCGGAGCGCCATGTAAGAAATATACTTATTTCGACCAATAAGAAGATAGATTTGTATTTTATTTTTGAATTAAAAAATTATGTCGCCACCTAGATAAAAGTAACGAAATAGATTTGATATATCTAAAATTTTAATGCCACGTAGATTATAATCCACGAATTAAATTATTTTAATGAAAAAAATAAAGTAAAAATATAGGAAAAGATAAATTTATTAATTCAATATTACGAGTATAAGAAATCCAAAAAAAAATATACTAAGAAATATTTAAATGATAAACGCTTATAATAAAGTTTGATACCTATCACTATAACATAAATTTTGATAGTATTTATGATAAGAAATACAAATTGTTCGTTAATTATAATTAAATTAAAATTTGTGATACCTACCATTATAAATTGACACATCATACGACACAAACAAAATTTCGTATCATTAAAAAACTCCATCAAGCGAATTTTGTGTTAGTAATTTTGTGTTAGTAATTTAGCTTAATTTTTAAAATCCTATACTTAAATTAGTATTTCTAATTATTACTTACATTGTATTAATTTGGGATACTCAACGATTATGTGTTTATGTTTTATTTACTAAATGTTTTTTTACATGCAGGTCTAACACATTATACGACACAAATAAAATTTCGTATCAATACAAAACCCCATCAAGCGAATTATGTGTTAGTAATTTTGTGTTAGTTTTAGGTCGTCAATGTCCGGGTAGTTTTTAAAATCTTATGTTTAAATTTATATTTGTAAGTATTAGTTACATTGTATTTATTTAGGATATTTAACGATTTTATGTTTATGTAGTGGCATATGATTAGATGTTGTATACTTAATATATGGATGGCTTGTATTTTTGGAGATGATGAAAAAATTCCAATGCATAGATTTGATTTTATATCACAACAATTTTTCATTTATTGGTAAATATATTGATTTATTTTATATAAATGTACAGATTTAATTTATATCAATTTCAGTTTGGCTAACATTTCACGGTTCAATTTATCCATTGATGTAGTAGGTTGGTCGTGGACGAGGTTGGTAATTATATTGAAATAAAAGATATGGTAAAACAATGAATAATGATTTAGGATTTAAATTATTAAAAATTTATCATTTCATATTAAAGATTTTATATAACGAAAAAATATCATATGTACAATTTATTTATATTTAATAAATTCATTATAAATTATAGTAAAAAAAATAAATTTTAAACTTTTGTAATTTTGTCTGAAATTATTAAATACAATAAATCAAATAATTAAAAATTTTAGATGAAAAAACCGTGCATCGCATAGGCTTCCATCTAGTTACTAGATAATTATAGCATGGTGATTTACTGGCGAATTGTGGTAGCTACTAAAAATGGTATGTGTAAACATGTTGTCCACCAAAAAAAAAAAAAGAAAAAAAAAGGTACATAAAAAACCCTTCTAGAGCTATATCTTTAAAAGTTTGTGTAGATTTTTCTACACACTTTATCACTGCTATACATAGTCCTCAACCAAAGGACTCTTAGTTTTGGAAAAAGATTTTTCAAATTCGCCCCCTCCTACTTCGTGGCCTTAGATGGAAAAGTTAATGGTACCAGTGTTCTATTCTGGCTTGATAATTGGTTCTCTTCTGAAAATTTAATTACTATGCTTAATTAGATACTTTGAATATCCAAAACCTAGATCTTATTGTTCATCATTTTATTTTGGAAAATAATGAATGGGATATTTCTAATCTTTCTCTTTATGTCCCGTCTAATATTGTCCATCTTATTAAAGGAATCCCACTTCCCTTTTCTGTTATTCAAGATGAGCCTTGCTGGGGTTTCTCTAACACTGGTGATTTTACTGTCAAATCAGCTTCTTAGCTTGCTCGTAATATCTCTTCTCATACAAAATGGAAATTTTCTTGGATTTAGAAACTTGATATCTCTCCAAAACTGAAAATTTTTGTTTGCCAACTTCTTCATAATGCTCTACCTACTAGGGCTAATCTGCTCATCATCAATTGGATATTCCTTCTATGTGCCCCCTCTGTAATTGTCATGATGAAACTCAAACTCATCGTTTTCTATCTTGTTCCTATACTTCTCAAATTTGGAATGCTAATGCTACTATTCGTTGGATTGGTCGAGTCCCTTTAACTACTAGCATTTATTTGCTTTTTAAAATTTTAAGGGGTAATTTCTCTATGTCTCTAAAAAAGGTTGTAACTTCTTTGTGGAGTACCTGTAAAACTAGGAAATCAGTGATTTTTGATAAATTGCTTTTTCTCATATGGCCATTTTTTCTCGTGCACAAAAAATTTATCATGAATGGCATTTTCGTTCTTGTCTCGACTCTTTGGATACTCTTGCTCTCGCTCTTCCTTCTCATCCTACCCTTAGGAGTATACGTGTCTCTTGGTCGCCCCTCCCCCTAGTGTTATTAAAATAAATTTTAATGGTTCTGTTCGGGATG